CCTGGGGTTCAGCCCCAGTGTGAAAGTGGGGAGAAAATGCAAAAGCAGCAGGCTCACTACTGAGCCCATAGCCAAAGAAGTGGAAATCTGTGTTGGGATACCCACTTCCAAGTGCACGGCAGCATTACATACAACAGAGGTACAGAGTCAAATTAAGTATCAACAAGTAACTAGGCCTACAATGGAATACCACACATCTGCATCTGTATTAAAAACAAAAGGAATTCAGTCACGTATGGATAGGACCCCAGAGGATATTATGGTAAGTGCCGTGAGTCACAGAAGAACATTCTGCATGAGCTCACTTATATGGAATCTCAAATTTGAACTCCAAGTAGAATGGTGATATCCAGGGCCAAAGGGTGAGAAGCCTTGGGAAAGAGTTGATCAAAAGATACAAAACCCCAGCAAGGGCCAGGCATGGTGATGCTTGCCTGTAATCCTAGCATTCAGGAGGCTGGGGAAAGGAGGATTGCCACAAATGCGAGGCCTGCCTGAACTACGTGGACAGACCCTATCTCAACAACAACGGACTCCCCCCCCCCAAAAAAAAAAAACCCCTCAGCTAGTTAGGAGAAATAAAATCTAGGGATGTGCTGTACAACATAGTAAGTGCTTTGGTCTTTACAGATCGTTGGGAGAAGCCAAGCTTCTATCACATGCCTCTAATTCTATCTCTAGAAGGATTACCATGAGTGCCAGGCTAGCCTGAACTAAATAGCAAGACTCTGTCTCTGTAGTGGTTATTCATAGTACAAGATGCAGACATGATATCATATTGTTGTCTTCATAGTGGTTATTCATAAAAAGTTCAGAAGGATTTTTTTTTTTTTTTTTGGCCCACTCAGGATGCCTTAAGGGCAGGTCTGGTAAGGCATGAGGATCTGGGGATCAAACCAAAGAATCCTGAACCTGACTGCTTTGCTTAAGCAGGCACTTAAACAACTGAGCTAATAATGGGCAAGACCCCAAGACCCTGTCTCAACAAAATAGGGGCTGGAGAAATAGCTCAGTAGTATAAGCACTTGCCTGCAAGTGCAAGGGCCTGAGTTCAATCCCCAGTACCACAAAAACAAATAAATAAACAAATAAATAAAAATAAACATTGCTGAGAGCTTGGTAGGGCTGAGGCAGGAGGATCACGCATTGCAATCAAGCTGAGCAAAGAGCTGCACCCTCTTTCAAAACACATTAAAAGGGCTACAGATAAAGCTCTGCACTGTTGGAATGTAATCCCCACTATAAAAAAAGGAAGAGGTATTTTTTGTTTTGTTTTGTTTGGGGGGTGTTCTTCTTTGCTTTTGTTTTTGCTAAGAATATAGATTTTTAAGTGTTCTCATCACACATACAAAGTATGTGAGGTAAGGGGCTGGGGAGGTAGCTCAGAGGCATAAGCACCTACCTGGCAAGCACAAGGACCTGATCCCCAGCCCTGCATGCTGTGTCTGCCCAGGATCCCCAGGGCCCAGATCTCCAGGCGTGCTGTGCCAGCCCCAGAACAGGGTGTGGTGGCACACACCTGTAATCCCAGCACTCGGGGAGGTTGAGACAGCAGGATCATTTCAAGTTTGAAACCAGCCTGAGCTACAAAGTGAGCTCAAGGCCATCCTGAATTGTATAGTGAAACCCTGTTTCAAAAGAAAGAAAGAAAGAAAGAAAGAAAGAAAGAAAGAAAGAAAGAAAGAAAGAAAGAAAGAAAGAAAGAAAGAAAAAAGAAAAATGGTACAGTAGCATATATCTGCAGTTCTAGGTTGTTGGAGACTGAGGTAGGAGAATCATGTGAGCCCAGGAGTTTAAGCCCAGCTTTACTAACATAACAAGATCACATCTTGGGCCGGGGAGATGGCTCAGTAGAATAAGCGCTTCCCTGGAAAATACAAGGGTTTGAGTTAATCCCTGGTTCTGCCAAAAACAAACAAACAAACAAAAAAACCCACTAAGATCCCATCTCAAAAGGAAAAAAAAAAAAAAAAAGAAGGAGCAGAAGAAAGCCAAGGAAAACATATGATAATTAAACAACACTTTCAAAATACTGAAGGTAGCAGGCATGGTGTCGCATGACTATAATCAGAACTCTGGGGAGGCTGAGGCAGGAGGATCATTAGTGAGAACCTGCCCCCAAAGAAAAAACAGAAAAGGGCAGACATTACCTCACTGTACAGTGCCTGGGGTTCCCTCACCAGTAACAACAACAAAACAAAACAACAAAAACCTCTGTGAAGGCCCAGATGTTCAATTTAGCAGAAAAAATATTTCAAAGTACATTTAATAAACATTTAATGATATGAAGAAAAACATTGTACAATGATTCTATAAATAGGTAA